CTCGCTCCTGAGCAACATCTCGAAGAGGCCGTAGGTATTCTCAGCGACCGCAAATCTCTATCGCCACATAAGCGTTAAGACTCTTCAGGTGAACAGATACCGGGCAGCGGCAAGAGGTCAGGCATGTGAACATTATTCTAGCTATCAGCCCAGTGGTACGCGCTCTTCCTAAGAAAAAGGCAGTCATAGAAGAAGCTTCTTCAGAATACCCATCAGTAACACACGGTGATAATAGATAAAAAGTTTTCAACACTAAACAATCCCTTTTTGGAGATGCTACACGCATTGTACTCCCGTTCAGAGTGGCAGTTTCTTGCTGAATGCGATGTGGCCCGAAAATGGCCTGCGGGGCTAGCCGATATACAAGTGTTCCTTTCAAGCTAATTGAACATTTTTGAACAAAGAAAATCTTGCGACACCTGCACTCTAACTAACTATGTTTTGTGTTTCAGTGTTTTTACCCTCCCAGACGAATCTGGTCTCGCTTTACTGTCGCCGAAGCGTAGAAGGGTTGGTTGGCCTGCTCGGGAGCCGATAGGAGATTTGATCTCGAACGTGCATGAACTGAAGTGTCACTTGCCACTACCCCACCTCCGCCCTGCACCCAGTAGAATTATAGTAAATACTGATAATTTGCGTCAACAAATTTGGCATGGCGACGACCTGTCCTTTGTATACGTTCAGGCTTGGGTCGATTCATCAATCTGCTGTGAATTCTACGGCCAGGGCAGTGTTGGTATAGAAACCCTGCCTTACATGTTAGCGGTAAAATGCATTCTTGGGGCATACGTGAGATAGGCTTAGTAGTTATGACCATGAAGGTGACCATTGCTGTCTTAGCGTCAGACACGAGACGAGATGTGACTACGTTGCGTCAGCAAGGCGAAGAGCGCGTATTAACTCTGCCATGGAACGGAGCGTTCGTGTCTTGTCACCATGCGCGCCATTCATTCAAGGTGGAATCACGAGTGTAGAGTACCAGTAGTACCTGCATGTAGTCATAGAATTTCTAGGACGGACGTATTGGTTCAGTAGTGCGTGAGAGTTCAGAAATGCTTCCGCGAAGTGCTATCTCCCTTTCTTCGTCATTAAGCACATCGGCACTATTGAGCTATTCCTACCCCAAAAAACTCAGAAAATTTTTCCGCTTGAAACCTTGTCTAGCAGGATATTCGAGTAGCCCTTATCACAATATCACATCCGTTCGGAGCGCTGGCGTCATTTGGCGGCCATCATGCCGCACAATATGGCGTCATATTGGCGCTAATGGCGCCAGCGCCTAAAGCCCGTGTGATATTGGTAATCACCTGGTAATGACCTCTTTTCAAAGGAATCTTTTCAATATACGCTGGCTGCGATCGCAGCTGTAATGAGACTGTAGATTTTATTACTGGCCGCCGCTGTGAAGCTGTCTGGGGACTTTTGCACCACACTATGTGCTAGGTGCTAGTCATTGGTTAGAACTTCGATATCGCGTCGCTTAGCCGCAACTGCTCTAGAAATTCTTGTAAATTTCGTTCCCATATTATGTTGAGATGAAATTTATAGATGTTTAGATGAGTAATCAAGCTCCGCTACCGGTTCGCTCTATACCGAACACACATTCCAGATATACACAGGGTCAGGTGAGGTCCAATATTGAATGTTTCTGTTTTCGACTCGTTTCGGTTATTGCCCCTTTATTACTGAGAAACATTCTGCGAAGCTGAGAACAGCTTCAGTTCTTTTCTAGATGCTTAAATTATATGTACATTGGTTTGTTGCATTACTGCTTGTTTACTTGATTACCATAGTAACTGTTCAGATAACGGGTCAGCAAGGTTCTCAGTTAATACAACAGCACCATGTGCCTCCACGAAGAACACAGTTTGGAAGCCATCAGGTATGATTATGATAATCATTTATTGTCGGTTAATAAGGCACAACATGATTATCGTGCACAATGAATGATATGCGATAACATAAATTGAAATTATATAAAAAGTATAAAATGGGGATGGGGAGGCGGTGGAAAGCTTGGTGATGAAGAGCAGTGGCCCGCCAACACTGCAAGTCGCAAGAATAGCACAGCTGCTCCGGATACCGTCTTACCATTAGTAGGTCCGTCAACTCCACCAGGTCCATCTGATATGTGGGGCCTGCCTCAAAAAAAACAAGGGGGAAGGGGAGGGAGGAGAAGAGGTCGTTGAAAGTTTAGAACAAGGGAGCCTTTGTGAGCAGGTAGACGCTTGCATCACATACCTTGTACTATTGCATTAGATTGGCGGGAAGTTCTGTCATATTTGTAAGATTAGGCTTCCTTTTTATAGATATAGGTAAAAGATCAAAAACAATTGTCATTGTGTGAACCTTACGTTTTTACACCCTATAGATGCCACCATTTCACAATCCTATCTAACGAAACAAGTTAGGGGACGCTTATTTCTAACCCACTAGTAGTTCATGATGAAACTATTGCATTCATGATCAATATATAGTGCATTAGCATAGTTGTCATGCAGGCTTAACTCCCTACTTACTTTAGGCACAACGTATGGCGACAAGCAGTCCACATCAGCCGAATCAATCAAGTAAGTGTATATGAAAAGTGAAACTGAGTAAAGAGCACCGCATTTTTCAATTTTTTGATTGTCCAAGCTAAATTGTACACAGGTGATGAGTCTGGAATCAGTGTGATCACAGAAAAACAAGTGCACTCATTGGGCCTGTTCTGCCGCATTTGTTGTGTTTTTTAGTTTGATTTACCCTTTGAATATGAAACAGAATCTCAAATACTTTGAAATGAAAAATTTTTTATTCAGGTCTTGAAAGCAGCCGGATTCTCACACCACCGAAAGCGATGAGAGTTCACGGAAACATTCAGCACTCCTCATGTAGCTGAAGAGGCGTAGGATTTCTATTGCCGCCTAACTATGACTGAGTCACCGACCAGTTGTGTTCTACTCAAGAATCAAAGCATACGTGAAGTTAGGTAAATGAACTATCTATTGAAAAAATAATTAAAACACGAATATTAAATAATAGGGAGCTAAAAATATATATAAAAATTTATATCGATGAAAATGTCTTAGAAAATAGTGAATGATGAGTAATTAAAAGTTTCCGTAAGTTTAGTTAGTATGATGGTATAAAGTTAAAGCTCGCCACATTTATTTTCAAACCGCAAAGGAATAGCTGTTTCATGCTTTATCAATGATGTCAAATTAGCATTTCGTGACAATACTGGATTGTTTCAAACATTGTTAGGAGACCGAATATTATAAAATTTGGGATGTCTATTTGTTATCCTTCCAATGTTCTTCCATGGTCAGAGAAGAACTGTTTGTATGCGATGACTAAAAGATTTGTTTATGTTCCGAAGGCTTTCAAAGAACAAAGTTTAACTCTAAACAATCTACATCTTGGAGTTAATCTCTGAGAAATTCAAGTGTCGGTGGATAAAACGAAAAAAAGGCGAAGAGGGTCGAACATAACTCGACTATTGTGATCGTAGAACAACTTAATGCAAGGCTGAAGAATTACAAAAAGCTGTCATGGAGAAGACGGAGGAGCAAGCTCAAAAAAAAAAAATTGTGCTTTACGCCTCTGTAAGCTTTTTTTAAATTCAAGTCAATATTGCAATACGATTATGCGTTATGGGAGTGCTCCAATTTCAGCGGATCAGGCCAAGAAGTGGGGCGTTCATGTCATCTCCTCCATTTCAAAGGGAAGAAAATCTTGGTTAGTGATGTATTAAGAAACTCGGAGGCAGAGTTCGCTGAAGGGACCGAGATCGAGTTGCTGGCTAGGGGAATCAGGTTTTTTTAATTGGCAAGGATTCGAGTAACACTACAGTTGAGCATCTAGTAATGGTCTCTTTATTTTCTTTGTTGTCCTTAAAATGATGCTGCGGCGATTTATTTGCGATGGTGAATCTGCTTCGAAGCAATGTCGCGGTTTTTTTCAACTGTTGTTTATCGATGAGTTTGGGGTTGTTGCGTAAGTCGCGATCAGAGTATCGGGGCCGGTGTCAGTAGGCCATGGACTGGCCAAACCGCCATTTTGCACACTCAGGTTGTCATCTCAAAGAGATACTACGTCACTGTAGGTGAAAATGGTAAGCCTCTCTCATACTCTTCCGCTGCCCTTCCTGACACTGCAATGACTGATTGTGACGATATCAGCCGTATATATTCAAGAAACTCTTCCAGCTGGATTGTGGTGTTCATCCTGGAATGCACGGAGTAGATGCCTTCCTTTTGTTGATTTCATAGACATTGAAGAAATAGATCTTCTGCTGGTAAGTTTCCATTTATTCATGCTAAGTTTATTTGAATTTTAGATAGACACTTATAACATATGCAATTGCTATTGTTTTTATGAAAGTTTGAAGTTTTTCATCTAAGAAGTTGGTCCAAAACGCTTTAAAGGCACGGTCCGCGACGATCAACTTGTACTGGTTTTCGCCGTTAAAAAATTCTATGGGGGGCGCTGTAGGCGAATATAGGTTAAGTGGCGTTTCGGTCTTTTTTCACAGTGACCGCTGCCAGTCTCCGCCCTATGGCGCGACTTTTCAGTGGAAAATGAAATTGGCCAGGTGAAAAAGCGGTGATATATCGCCACCTTGTAGGCGAATCGTTGAAATCTTTATGGTGAGTCAGCCGTGCATAGTGAAGAGCGTGGTTTGAGATAGAGTTGATTGGGCCAAAAATAAAATGGTACAGAAGCTGGACGGAATGGTGTCCTATCTAGGGCAGAGTAGCGTGTTCATTGTTGTTTTTTTTTTGTTGCACGAGATCGAGTTTTACTTAAAGCCCTTGTCGCCCTATATGGACACCTAATCCATCATCTTAGATTGCGGAGTAATCGCGGGGTTCTTCCATTTAATTAGTTTAACTAATTGAGTATAGCGAGTCAAATGGGGAAAACACTTACTATTAGCTTTCTCTCGTTAGTGCGCTAATGAGCCATAAGAGAAATACGCACTCAGTGATGTTCGAGTTGAAATTGTCTAGGGTTCCTTCTATGTCTAGCGTTTCCTCTGAAGGTCGAGAGCGCTGGCTATGTAATTCTTTACGAAGCTTAGCACTATCGGTGGAAATCTTATCCCTAGATCCGCCTTCTCAGCATATTAACGGCTTGCATGGTATACCAGTAATTTTGAAGCCCAAGAGCCCACTTTGTCTGCCTTTAGAACTGTAATCGAGTAGGCTCAACGTGAACCAGCATAGCATCATGTCGCATCTAGAGACCCACTCACGATTCTTCAGTGGGAAGTCAATATGCGTGCGCACTTTTAGTCGAGCTGAATCGACACAGAAGCTCTCTTCTCTCCTCTCTCCCCGTCATGATGTCCTGCTCTGCTTTCTCTCTCTCCGTTCGCTCTTTCCCCATTACGTTTCTATGCGTGATTTGCCATATCTTGGCTTTTTTATTTTTCTGTCGATGCCATTTCAGCTTTCAAATACCATCCAACTCTTACATTATCAGATCACCCACTTTCACCTCGATCACTGTGGTGCTCTTCCGTGGTTGTTGGAGAAGACTGGGTTTCAAGGAAAGTGCTTCATGACCCATGCAACGAAAGCAATCTATAGAATGCTCTTAGGAGATTACATCAAGGTATCAGCATTTGTCAACGTTTTCTTTCTTCTGGAAATAATTTCATCTTGTCAATTCTGTTCTAAGGTTGCTAAATATGGCGGAGGAAGTGATCGTAGTATGCTGTACACTGATGAAGACTTAGAAAGAAGCATGGAGAAGATTGAGGTTTGACTCAACGATTCTTGGTGTGTTAACAATCCAGCGGGTTCAGCGGCTGACAAGTACTCGAATATTTAGGTCATAGATTTCCACGAACAAAAAGAGGTCAATGGAATCCGATTCTGGCCATACGTTGCTGGTCACGTTCTTGGCGCCTGCATGTTCATGATCGAAATAGCAGGTCGTTATCTCATAATCCTGATAGCTACGTTCTGATATTTTTGTGGCTTATTCGTACTAGTGAATCATTGAAAGACCCAAATGTTAAGGTGTTCGAGCATTGTATACGGGTGACTTCTCAAGATTAGAAGATCGGCATTTGTGCGCAGCTGAACTACCAACGATTACACCCGATGTCCTGATTTCGGTGCGTTAATAGGAGAAATTCGGGGTGAAACTTCTCGAAATGTGGTCCCTGATTACGAAACAATTTTTGCAGGAATCAACATACGGTACACAAATTCATGAGGAACGAGGTGAGCGTGAGAAACGGTTCACTCAGATGGTGCATGACATCGTTGGCAGAGGAGGACGTTGCTTGATCCCTGCGTTTGCTCTTGGTCGGGCCCAAGAACTTTCTGTTGATTTTGGATGAGTACTGGGACGCACATCCGGAACTGTACGACATTCCTGTCTACTGTGAGTGTAAATTTTAACTTTCTTTATTTGCTCCCTGTACTCCATTTCAATGAAAAGTCTCTGTTTTTGGTTTTACTATGATAACTGCTGTTAAATGCCGCAGCTAGTGCTTTGAAAGTTGTCACAAGTACGCTGATTTTGGGCACAAGCAGACCCCAAGTGGCTCTCGAAAGCGCACATTTTCCGGGCGAGTGCGCTACCCGTTACGCCTCCGGGGACGCTCTCACCATCGGTCCACCATGCTGAACGTGAGTTCCGGCTATGGCATAAAAGCCGTCAAGGTGAGTGTAAGAGCGGCTTTAGTGGCGCAGCAGATAGTGCATTCGCCAGGAAAGCATGAGGTGAGAGTCGCGCCTGGGTCCGACTTTTGCCACTTCTTGTGATATCTTTTTTGGTGTTTTTTTAAATCTTGTCTTTTTATCTCATTTTTTTAAAATCTGCTGATTATTCCAAAATATGGTGGTTTCATTCAGACGCTTCATCTCTTGCCAAGAAATGTATGGCAGTTTACCAGACATTCGTTAGTGGAATGAATCAGCGCATTCAGAAGCAAATAGCGGTCAGCAATCCCTTCATTTTCAAGCACGTCAGCAATCTAAAGGTAGCCTATTGTCTTAATTTACTGATAGAAAACTTGGCACTAATTCTCTGTTTTCTGCTCAATCTCGAAAGTGGAGTGTATCTGTTCAGGGCATGGAACATTTCGAGGATTCAGGGCCGTGCGTCGTATTGGCTAGTCCCGGTATGTTACAAAACGGTCTCAGCAGAGAGCTCTTTGAGAAGTGGTGTACCGATGCCAAAAACGGTTGTATCATTGCCGGTTATTGTGTGGAAGGTACACTTGCAAAGGTTTGTTTGGAGATGTTTTCCACTCCCTCGATCATATGGAAATAGTGGACCTGCTTCTAGCATATTCTCTCTGAGCCTGAAGAGATTGTGGCTATGAACGGCGATCGTCTACCGATGAGATTGCAGGTAGAGTTGCAGATAAATTCTTGATAGTTTCCAAATTCATGCATTTCTTTGGAGGTCGGGTATATTTCTTTCTCTGCCCATACGGACTTCCAACAGACGCTGGCATTTGTGAAACAGCTGAAACCTCCTCACATGGTAGGTCGCCGTAGGCTGGATTTTGAGTACTTCCACCATTTTCATCCATAATCTTCAGATTCTGGTACATGGTGAAATGCACGAAATGAGTCGATTGAAGGCAGGCATATTGAGAAGTTTTGAGGAAGAGAACTTATCTATTGAGGTTTGTTACTTGTCTTCTTAACTCCTTATTCAAAAGATGCGAAAACGTACCCCAACTACATTGACGGTTCGCTAGAAGTAATTCAAACTGTAAGATTTGTATTTCTCCTTCCGTGTTTTGTCCTCCGCCATTTTTGAGTAACGAAGACCTTCATTTCCTTTCTTCTTTTCTCTTTTTTTCGAACATTTCTGACATCCAGCAACATCATCTCTTAGTTTTTTCCCTATTGATTCGACAGCTTATCTTCAATTGGAAGCATTGCTTACATCAATTTGCGTCGCCAACTGCACGTTTAAGTGGTCTGCCTCAATGCAGCGCGTCTGTTTTATGATGCTTGTTTTCGCAAAGTTTGCTTTCGCAGCGTTTCTCCGCTCAAGAAAAGACGTAATCTCTAGGGAAGTAATATTAAATTCCATCCTATCGTCATAGAAAGTGATATTACTATCAGAATCTTGGCAACATTATAAGATTATGTCCACATACGATTGTCATAGTGAACAATGTGGCGCAGGTGATCCGCCAAAATTGTGTGAAAGCAGCGTGTACGTTCCTGTTGTTGTCCATGTAAGATTCCTAAGTACAATCCTCATCATTACGGACTGTCGGGGCGTGTCAGTGCGGCTGCGTTTGGCGCGGTACCGAAGTCGTTCTGCACCAATTGTTGAAGCAAGTGACATTACTGTATTATATCCTTCGTACTACTCGTTTTTA